TTGTAACCAGCTTCCTCAAAATATCTCACGAACGGACGGATGCCAGCGTGATAAGCTGTCTGTTCAACGGCTGAGATCAAAATAGGGGCTTGTATCGTGCGTGCAACTGGCTGTTACTACTTGCAATTGGGCAGGCTGTCGAGCTTAGTCAGACCAAATTCGCGTGCAGTCGCTGAACATCCTGTGTACTCACCATGATTTTCTTCCGTTCGGTGGCCCTACCAGTACAGCAGTTCCACAAGAGGGCTGGGTACAACAGTCCCACAGACGGTTGCCTTTCTTGCTTGCCTTTGCCAGCTCGGTTGCAGCAGCACTGCCTGTCCAAGAAAGGCAAGCATGAAACGAAGACCAAATATAGAGAGAAATACTGTAGAGCCATGTTTAGTGATTCCTTTTTTCTCGCGTGGTTTTGAATTACTCGAGTGGCCACCAGAATTGGTGATAATTACTCGAGTGGCCATGCCAGGGGATTCCCGCACGCTTTTCTTTCTTGGCGCATTACCCTACGGGGGTTTGTAGCCCCGAAAGTTTTGGAATACTTATTGCGCGACTTTCAGTATCCGAAATGTATGTTCGTGACATTATATGACCGCGCCTGATTGGACGCGCATTGCCAAAAAAGGCACCACGCATATAATTGACCAATCATGCGCGGTCATTAAATCCCGCGCATTGACGCCCGGGCATCGCAGTTTATGATCGAGGAAACATATGATCGGGCATTAATATATGATGCTCACGACCATTAATGGCCGCGCATGATTGGTCGATTATATGCGCGTCCAGTCAGGCGCGGTCATATAGGGTCACGAACATAAAATTCGGATATTAATGATCGCGCAATAACCAAGACAAACATTCGGGGCTACAAACCCCCGTAGGGTAATGCGCCGGGTAAAAAAAAGCGTGCAGGAATCCCCTGGCATGGCCTCTCGAGTAATTATCACCAATTCTGGTGGCCACTCGAGTAATTCGAGGTCATGCGAGTAAGAAGGAATCACCAAACATGGTTCTACAGCAGTTCTCTTCTAAACCTATCTTTCAGAGCAACCGTAGCGCTCGTGGAACAACCGAATAGGATCCATTCCACGGTTTGGCAGAGCGACGAGAGAATTACTGTAGAACCTGGATCAGTGATTCATCCTTACTCGCGTGGCCTCGAATTACTCGAGTGGCCACCAAATTTGGTGATAATTACTCGAGTGGCCACGCCAAGGGATTCCCGCTGGTTTCTTTTTACCCGGCGCATTATTCTACAAGGGTTTTTACCCCCGAAATCTCTGTACTGATTAATGCACGATCTTCAATATCCGAAATTTATGATCGTGACCCCATATGACCGCGCCTGACTGGACGCGCATTGCAAAACAAAGCACCGCGCATATGATCGACCAATCATGCGCGGTCATAATGTCCGGGCATTGCAGTTTACTCTATGATCGTGGAAATATATGATCGGGCATTAATATATAATGTGCCCGACCATTAATGACCGCGCATGATTGGTCGACTATATGCGCGTCCAATCAGGCGCGGTCATATAAAGTCACGAACATAAATTTCGAATACAAATCATCACCCGAAAACATCCATTATAAATCATCGCGTAAATTGAAAATCGCGCAATTATCAATACAGAGGTTTCGGGGATACGAACCCTTGTAGGGTAATGCGCCGGGAAAACAAAAAGCCAGCGGGAATCCCCTAGCATGGCCACTCGAGTAATTATCAGCAAATTTGGTGGCCACTCGAGTAATTCGAGGCCACGCGAGTAAGGGTGAATAACCGACCCAGATTCTACAGTAATTCTCTCCAGAGCGAGCTACTGTATATGTGCGTCCTGCACTGCTTTCCATACCCAGAGATCGACCAGCTCGCTCGTGTGTGCCTGTGGCGTTACATCTGATCCGATCATCATGATCTGGCGGTGATCGTCCCAATGGCGGCAGCTTCGCTGGCTGGTTCATTTACACTCTGTCGAATCACTGCATCGAGCGACACGTAAGCAGCGCAGCAACCACACAACTGCGATGGGGTTTTGTTTTTGTGGCTGCTGGTAAGGGAGGGGGCGGGGTATGGGGAAGGGGGAAGGGGAAGTGGACAAGCCGAGGAGCTGTCGGGTGTCGAGGGGAGGGGAGTGAGGGGGGAACTACAGTCTAACGACGTGTTGCGACCCACATGGGCTGGGTCGACCGGCCGCCGACTCCTCATTTCTAGGAAGGCTGCGTCGCGGGTCTAGCCGACCAGGTCGTCCCAACCAGGTCGGGTCGACCGGGTCGACCAGACCCAAACCAACCGAGTTGAAGCAGGTTACCTGATCCTACGAAATTTACAGATCTCGCGCAGAAATCGCCCTGATTTCGCCACTCGAAAAGATACCAGGTAAACTCGCACAAATCTTGCCATAGCTCGCCACAGGTCGCTCAGGCCACCATTTCCTCGCGCGGCAACTGCTTCGCATCACTCTCGAAGATGTTAGGAAAAAGCTGAGAAATTTTCAAATTCTCCGAATCGCGTTTCCGAGGGTTTGGTCGGGTGGGGTCTGGTCGACCAGGTCGTCCCGACCAGACCCAATCCGTGTGGGTCGCAACATGTCGTAAAGTTGAATGTTGGGTGAGGTTATTTACCGAATTGAATGGTCTTTTACCTTACTGAATCGTAAAAAACCGTATTGTGATCATCAGGGAACCCCTCTCTCGCCTCGCTCGAGTCGAGACTCGAGAGGCAAGGAGACACTGAAAAAAATCCAGTTCCCAACGTTGGACGCGTCACCGCACGGTAAAAGTAGAAATAGAAAGGGTGCAGTGCGGTTGCGAGTTTCGATTTCTCGATATTGTCAACTTGAACCGTATCTTCAACTCACGGCCAGCGAAAGGCTGGCTGGCGGTGGGCTGACCGAGATGAGATGACACGGCGTAGAGCAAATCCAATACACCTCGCATTCACCAATGGACGATGGAGTGACGGTGGATAGAGGCGGACAACTTGAGCTCCAGGAGCATGAACCACAATTAATGGCGCTCGTACAGTACGCATCGGCTTCCCTACTACGTGTGCTTCCTCTCACTCACTCCTAGATCGTTTCAGATTTAGCGAAACTGTTTCATGACCAATTTGTGCAAGGGAACGGAATGAAGGTCCTTCTGAATCCTTATGGCCCACCTCAAAGCTCTCCCACTCTCACGAGTCACGTCAGTGGATGCAGCCAGAGAGCAGCAGTCACCGATTTCGTTACTTCAAGGCGAAACGCCCGTGGCCGCTTTGCCCATTAGACACCAGCTGAGTGACCTCAGACCACTGTAGTTAGAGACTCTAAAAAGAAAATAAAAAAATACCGCCTAACCCAGCAATTAATCCGCTCTGTATTCTAGAGACGCACGGGTCCTTCTTGACATTGAAACTGCCGCAGCATCATCAACCGCACGTTGACTCTACTAGGTCAACGCAATTTCTCCTTATAAGCATCGGCAGCTGCACCACTCTGTCCTTCTAACGAAATCGTCGTGGCTCCAGCAGTCTCACTGGGCTGTAGCAGGGGTGCTGCGAGCATCGTTATGGCGGACTGCGCCTCGCCCTTCAGTTTCCCCTCCCCGCACGACGCGCCGCGTGTCACGCGAGATGGCTCTGCTACAATCGGCGGTTTTCCTGAGGGCAGTGAGAGAACAAGAGCGTCAGGGGTCTTTGCGTCGTCGGCGTTTTCACGGCAGTGCGTCACGACGACAGGCGCGTCAGCCTGGCCGTCTAGTGCGAGTTCGTTTGACGATCTGCCGGTGACGGAGTCCGTCGAAGTGACAGACGGCTCCAACAGCTCCGTCCCTGAAGTTGCGGAGCGTCAAACTGCGGGATTGTCTGCTCCAGCGCCTGCACCTGTCTCTGCGCCAATTACGGCGCCAATCGCCGCGCCAGTCCGCGCTCCAACTTCCCCGCCAGTCCCCTTGTCAATCCCCGCGCCAGTCCCCGCGCCAATCGCCGCGCCAGCAGCTATTGACCCGGAAAAGCTGGAAGCATTTCAGCTGAAAATTCTCTCCTCCATCACTTATCAGCGCCGGGCCGAATCACAACACGGCACGACTCTTGCGGGACTCGCGCCGCCACATCAGCCGGACGTCTCTCCACTTCGCTGTCTTAGTCCGCGGAACGGCGGCGGCGGCTCCTCTTCCGCTGACAGCCGCCATTTTCCGCGCTTCTCTCCTCTGCCGTACCCGCGGAGTCCCCGGCCGTCGCGGCAGCAAGTTCCGGCTTCCGCGGCGGCAAGTTTCGAGGCGCGTCAGGACCAACTACTAACGACGGCGTCGCCTTCGGTTCCGACCTCAGACCTTGAAGTATGTTCGGGGTTAGAATCTACCACGCTCGTACTTCCCAGAAGCGCTACGACTACTAGCACTACCAGTACTGCTAGTACCACCAGTAGTAATATTAGTGCAGGTGGTTACGAATGTTTTTCGCTAGGGAAGTTGCGAATGTTGTCGCTTCCCTTCCCCAAGTCCGTCACCTGCCCGCCGGAAGCTGCGACGACCGTTTCCGCAGCGGCGGCTTGCGCCACTAGCGCCGCCGGGTCCGCCGCTTCCGCTTTTGAAGGGTCTCTTCCATCCCCTGCCGCTGGCGCAAGCGCTGGCGCGGGCGCGGGCGCGGGCGTGGTCGCAGGCGCGAAACCGTCCTCCTCCGCCGCTCGCGCCGCTCTTCCCGCAGGGGATTCCGACGCGGAACCGCTATTTGTCAGATTCTCCCGCGCGTCGTCGTGTGGGAACCTGTCTTCTCTCCAGTCCGCCGTTTCCCCGTCCCCGCGCCGTCAGCGGACCGTTCCGCGCGAGAAACCGGTTCTTCCTCAGTGGATAAGTGTACGCGCCGCCGCTGCCACCTCCGCCGCCGCCGCGGCCGCGGCGTCCGCGGAAATCGCGGCTGGGGTATATCCGGGGAGCGCCGGCGGCCGGCAAAGGCGGGCGTTCGACGCGGCCGTTGCGCCACCTTCTCCACCGCTTTCGCCGTCGCGTGCCGCGCGCATGGCGCAGCGTTTCCGCGCGGGGGTGGTGGCGCAGATGGTGCGCCAGTCGCAGTGCGTGCAGCTGGTCGTGCGGCCCGCCGATGGCGCCGTGACTTGCGCCAGCCGCGGCGCGGAGAGGGTGTTGCGCGCAGAAAAGGGGCGGCTGGAGGGGGTGAGTGCGCGAGTGAAGGAGAGTGAGTGAGAGACTGAGGGGCCGAGTAAAAGAGTGGGGGGCTGGGTGAGTGTGTGAGTGAGGGGGTGACTGTGTGTGTGAGCTCCCAATGTACGATTTTCTCTCCCCAACCCCTCTCCATTCCTCTCTCGTTTCTCTCTCCCCCAATTCGATCCCACCACCGTATTTTCCACCAACCCCTCTCTTCCCACTTCTCCAATTCTCCCCCCTCCCCACTCCCCTTTCCATTCCTTTCCCCTTGCTTTCTCTCGTTTCTAAATTTAGGTCGACTGAAATCCGCCCCTGCTTTTTCCCCCATCGCCACCCTGACATCTCAGCTTTTTTCCTGCCCCCATTTCTTGTTCCGGAACCCACACTCACCCTCCACCCCCCTTCCCCCCAACTCTCTTACACGCTTCCTCTGCCGCTCCACCACTCTCGCCGCCTTCGTCCTCCTCCCTGTCGACCCGTTGCCCATCCCTCAGAGCTCCTTTCTTGGAATGCCGGGTAGTGCGTTGCCTTTGGACACGTGGCGGCATCTCGTTGGCCAGCTGGAGAGCGGCAGTGTGGACGTGGTAACCCTATCTCTGCCACTGCGGCGTTGCAATGATGGGCATGGACCAACGTTAGTATCAGCTGCACCAGCATCAGCAGCACCGGAAGCAGCAGCAGCAGCAGCTGAAGCAGCAACATCAGCAGCAGCAGCAGCAGCAGCACCAGATGCAGCAGCATTAAAACCCACTGCGTCAGCTGTGACCCCCCCCTCCGCGCCCCCTCTCTTGCGCCCTGAGGCGCACGTTCCGCGCACAGGCGCGCAGTGGCTGTACCGCTGGATGGTGGGGCGGGAGAAGCGCGCCGGGGGGAAGGGGAAGGGCGCAAGGGGGGAGGGGAAGGGCGCTGGGGGGGAGGAGGGGGAGGAGCGCGAGGAGAAGGGAGAGGGGAGGGAGGAGCGTGAGGAGAGGAAGGAGCGGAGGGAGGAGGAGGTGGAGGAGGAGGAAAACAAGGAGAGGCAGCAGCAGCCACAGCGGCAAGGCCAGAGGCAGCAGCAGCAGCAGCAGGGTCAGCAGGGGCTGGGGCAGCAGGAGCAGCAGGAGCAGCAGGGGCAGGAGAGGGAGTGGTTGGTGCCGGTGTGCATTCAGTTCTTTGAAGTTGGGCCGTGCAAAGACCTCGTCATAACAGGTGTGCTCTCCTTCCCTGTGTTTGCTATCGCCTGCTCTCTGCTCTTCTCACACCTCTGCTGCTCTACTCTCACCTCGCCTGCTCTGCTCTACTCACACCTGAGTTGTCTCCAATCTTGTTCTCCTTCTATGCCTGGTCTTCGCCTCTCCTCTACTTTCTGGTTTTCTTTTCTGGTTGTCCTCACTCTTCATTTCTGCTCTGGTTATCTCTCCTCGTCCCTCCTCCTTTTTCACTCCTTGGCAGTCTTAACACCCCCCGAGGGCGCTTCACGTATTTCTGAACCATTGCCTCGGCACCTTCCCGAAGCTAAGCACGAGGCTCGGAAGCAGTCCCAAGCCACACGTCCGGCAGTTGTGCACGAAGCAAAGAGCCACCACACTTGCAATGATGCTGACAGTCCTCCACTGGTGACGAAGCAGACCGAACCTCACACCGAGCCTCTCTTTCAGGTTCGGAAGCATCCCGCACCGGAGATAACCCAAGCTGTGGCTCTGACATCCTCTGCTTCTGCTGCTGCCACCTTGGCGGAGCAATCTGCCAGCTCAGCTGACCCTTCTGCCAGCTCAGAAAACCCAGCTGCCAGCTCAGATGACCAGCCTGCCAGCTCAGCAGCAGGCAGCACGGAGAGGAAGGGGGGAGTGAGCAAGCTGCAGCAAAACGTGTTCTCCACTCTCCACATACCTCTCGCGTCCCTCCCAACCAATCCTATTCTAGCTGCCCTCTCACAACCCAAAACTCCACCCACCAAGCCTGCGTCCCAAAGCAGAGGCGCAGGCTCGGTAGAGGGCTGGTTTCGGAGTCTGTACAGCGGCGGCAGGAGGAAAAAGACCCAGCAGAGCGTTCTCCCGATCCTGAACCGCCGAACCAACCGGGGAGGTTTGGGTGGTGGACGAGGGAGGGATGTGGAGGGTGCACGTGGGGAGACGATAGCTGAGATTGCGAATGCTGCTAAGGCAGCTTCTGCTGTTGCTGCTTCATCCACTGCTGCTGCTGTTGCTGCTGCTGCTGCGGCTCTAAACGAAGCCGCTGATTCAACCACCTTTTTGGAAACCAGTGCCAGCAGCACCCAAATCAGTTGCACCACCCTCACTACCAGTGCTTCTGTTGTAGTTGCTTCTGCTTGTACCACCCTCGTGGATTGCAGCCCTGCTTCTGTTCCCTCTGCTTCTGTTCCCTCTGCTGCCGCTCCTGCTCCCTCTGCTGCCGCTACTGCTCCCTCTGCTGCCGCTCCTGCTTCTATTTCGCAGTCTCCCCCTTCCCCTGTCTCTGCCTCTGCTGCTTTCCCTCTCCCTCTCCCTCTCTCGCCCCCTGCGTCCTCCCCCCTCTCTTCCTCCCCCCTCTCTTCCTCCCCCTTCTCTTCCGTCGCTCTCTCTTCCCTCGCCCCTGCCCCTGTCCCACTCTCTGCTCCCCTCTGTGCTCCTCCGACCCTCGCTTCTCCGACCCTCGCTTCTCCAACCCTCGCCCCGCCAACCCTCGCCCTGCCAACCCTCGCCCCTCCGACCCTCGCTTCTCCGACCCTCGCCCCTCCGACCCTCGCCCCTCCGACCCTCGCCCCTCCGACCCTCGCCCCTCCTGCTGCCGTCACTCCGAAACCCGCCTCACGGGTGGAAGCGGCGCCTGACAATTCCCTCCTTACCCTCGCCCCTCTTGGCCTCGCCTCTTCTGAATCTTACTCTGAGCTGCGAAAGGGCAAGCTCAGCACGTGGGACGTGGCGGTTGCACGGGGAACAACAGGGGCCGCTAAGGCAGAGGGGGACGAGGACAAGCAAGCGGGAGAGACGGAGAAAGGGGCAGCAGCACAAGGGCGAGCGAGGGAGCAAGGAGGGAAGGAGCAGGGGGAGCAGGCAGGGAAGGAGCAAGGGGAGCAGGGGGGAAGGGACCAGCAGCACCAGAAGCCACCGCAGCCGCAGCAGCCGCAGCAGCCAGTGGGGATGCGGCGTATCCGAGTGGATCCATCTCAGAAGCCAAGGGGGGCGTCGGAGACATGGCTTTTGCATGACTTCAAGGAGCGACCCGGCAACCAGTTCAAGTTCCGCATGCTCTTTGAGCTCTCGTCTGTAAGTGCAGTGCTTTGAGGGACCTTAAAGCCCATTTGCCCCGCCTATCTTCCATGACATCCCGGCAACCAGTTCAAGTTCCGCATGCTCTTTGAGCTTTTGTCTGTAAGTGCAGTGCTTTGAGGAACCTTAAAGCCCATCTGCCCCGCCTATCTTCCATGACATCCCGGCAACCAGTTCAAGTTCCGCATGCTCTTTGAGCTCTCGTCTGTGAGTGCGCTGCTTTGAGCTCTCCTCCGTGAGGGCAGTGCTTTGAGGTACCGTAAAGCCCATTTGTTCCCTCTTTCTCTTCCATGACATCCCAGCAACCAGTTTCCTGTGAGAATTCTCAAGAGCGGTTCCTGTGGACTGCAATGCAAACAGGCGGCGGTGAGGATGGTTGACTTTTGAGTCGACTCAATAGAGTTGACTTTTGAGTCGACTCAAAAGAGCTGACTTATGAGTCGACTCAAAGAGCTGACTTATGAGTCGACTCAATAGTCTTTCCTGTGAGAATTCTCAAGAGCGGTTCCTGTGAACTGCGGTGGTAAGGATGGTCAAGGCGAGGAGCAAAGACCACTTGATCGGCCACACTTGTGCTGCACCTCTTTTGAGGCGCCTCAAAAAACGGCTTTTGAGGCGCCTCAAAAAACGACTATTGAGGCGCCTCAGAAGGAGCAAAGGCCACTTGATCGGCCACACCTGTGCTGCACCTCTCATCCCACCCCCTCCCCCACCACCAACCCGCTCCTCTCCTCCTCAGGACCCCAAGATGCTTCTTAGCAAGGATGGCAGGCTCTTAGACTGCAATCAAGCGACAGTGAGGATGATCAAAGCGAGGAGCAAGGACCACCTCATAGGCCGCACCATCCAGTCGCTCTCTCTCTCTGTCCCTCCCTCTCAGTCCAACCCTCTCCCCCATCCGCACACCTCTCCCCTCCCCTTCAGGACCCCAAGATGCTTCTGAGCAAGGATGGACGGTTACTGGATTGCAATCAAGCGACGGTGAGGATGATAAAAGCCAGGAGCAAGGACCACCTCATAGGCCGCACCATCCAGTCGCTCTCGCCGCTGCTACAGCCGGGCACGGGCCAGCCTGCTACAGCCCTGCAGGCCATTCTCGACGAGCTCGCCGACAGCAACGCCGCCGGCAGCAGCAGCAGCAGCCCTCACAGCTGCAGCGGCGGCACCGGCTGCAGCAGCCCCAGCTGTAGCAACAGCAGAACCACCAGCAGCAGCAGCGGTGGCGGCGGCGGTGGCAGCGGCGGTGGGAGTGGAGCGTGCGATCTGCGGCGGTTTGAGTGGGTGTTTCAGGATGATGAGGGGGGAGTGCTGCCCGTTGAAGCCCTGTGTCGTCTCGTGGACCTCAGAGGAGACGCCAGTCAGCCGCAGTCCCAGCCCCATCCCTCCTCCTCCTCCTCCTCCTCCTCCTCCTCCTCCTCCTCCTCCTCCTCCTCCTCCTCCTCCTCCTCCTCCTCTCACTCCTCCTCACACTCGCGAGCAGCGGTGTATCTGATGGTGTGGCACGATCTGACGGAGGTGAAGCGCAAGGAGGCGTCCTTGGAGCGAGCCAAGCAGGAGGCGGAGCGGGCGAGGCAGGCGGCAGAGAGGGCGAGTCTCTCGAAGACACAGTTTCTGGCCAACATGAGCCACGAGATCCGGACCCCCATGAACGGTGAGATTCGCTCCCTGTGAATGGAATGGAGTGATAGTATGAACGGTGATGCTATGCTGTGTCAAATTAGGGAGGGCGAGGCTGTCTGTGCAAGACGCAGTTTCTGCCGCATATGAGCCATGAGATCAGAACGCCCATGAACAGAGGAGAGGACGAATCTGTCAGGTCGGGGCGAATCTGTCCTGGCCTGGCGCAGTTCCTGGCGAACATGCGCCATGAAATCACTCCCCCTTCCCCCTTCCCCTCCTCTTTCCCCTCCCTACTCTCGTCCACAGGAGTGATTGGCATGGCAGACCTGCTGCTAGACACAGCTCTAAGCGAGGAGCAGCGCATGTTAGCAGAGACCATCCGCTCCTGCAGCGAGGGGCTTCTGCAGATCCTCTCCTCTCCTCTCCCACACGGCGCATCCCCCTTACCATCTGCTCCCTGTTCCCTTACTCCCCACCACAGGGGTCATTGGGGTGGCAGACCTGCTTCTCGACACAGCTTTGAGCGAGGAGCAGCGGATGCTGGCCGAGACCATCCGTTCCTGTAGCGAGGGGCTGCTGCAGATCCTGTCGGACATCCTGGATTTGAGCAAGATAGAGAGCGATAAGATGGAGCTGGAAGCTACTCAGCTGGACGCCCGGCAGCACCTCAGCAGCTCCCTCGCTCTCTTCCGCACTGCCGTGCAAGACAAGGGCCTTCAGGTGGGTTCTGACAGGTCAAGAGGTGTGAGAATGATGTGGTTGGGGGGTGATGGATTTGAGCAAGATAGAGAGCGATAAGATGGAGCTGGAAGCTACTCAGCTGGACGCCCGGCAGCACCTCAGCAGCTCCCTCGCTCTCTTCCGCACTGCCGTGCAAGACAAGGGCCTTCAGGTGGGTTCTGACAGGTCAAGAGGTGTGAGAATGATGTGTTTGGGGGGTGATGGATTTGAGCAAGATAGAGAGCGACAAGATGGAACTGAAGGCCACGCAGCTGGACGCCAGACAACACCTCAGCAGCTCGCTCGCGCTCTTCCGCACCGCACCGCGGTCTTTCAGGTGCGCTCTTCCGCACCGCGGTCTTTCAGGTGCGCTCTTCCGCACCGCACCGCGGTCCAGGTCCAGGACAAGGGCCTTCAGGTGCGTCCTGCAGGGAAAGGCAAGGGGTGCAGCTGGTGCGTTGGTGCAGGAGGTGTCATGTCAGGATGAGGTGGGTGCGGAATGAGGGGAAGAGCTGGGGCTGCTGCAGATCCTATCAGACATACTGGACCTGAGCAAGATAGAGAACGACAAGAGAGGAGTGAGGGGTAGGGAGAGATCCTATGGAACATACTGGATCTGAGCAAGATAGAGAACGACAGATGGAGCTGGAGGCTACACAGTTAGACACCAGGCAGCACCTCATGAACTCACTTGCTCTCTTCCGCACTTTGTTCAGGACAATATTGAAATCACTTTTGAGAATTCCCAAAAGTCACCTCGTGAACTCACTTGCTCTCTTCCGCACTTTTGTTCAGGACAAGGGGCTGCAGGTGGGTCTGGTCTGGGCTGTCGGGCTCTGTCGCTTTTGAGAAGTCTCATCTCATCATGTGAAACAAGGCAGAAGAACTAGTTGTGGCTTGTTCGAGGTGACACTTTTCTTTCGAGTCGCCTCAAAAGTCACCAGGTTCTGTCACTGATGTGTAGTCTCATCATATGAGACGTGGCAGAACTAGTCATGCTTGAATGTCCTCTCTTCTCAACCCGCCCCCTCTCCCATGCCCCCCTCTCCTCCCCCCTCTCCTCCTCCTCCCCACACCCTCCCTCCCATCACACCTGGCAGCTGAACGTGAGGGTAGCACCAGACGTGCCGCACGCGGTGACGGCAGATGCAGTGCGGTTGAGGCAGGTGCTGCTGAACCTGGTGTCGAACGCCCTCAAGTTCACCCACCACGGGCGCATCTCCGTCTCCCTCTCCCGCCTCCACTCCTGCCCCGGCTGCTGCTGCTGCTCCCCCTCCCCCTCCTCCTCCCCCGATCACCGCCACGCGGAAGGGGAGAGCCAAGGCAAGGAGGGTATCAAATCCAGCGAAGAAGAGGGTGAGAGAGGCAAGGAAGGGGAAGAAACAGGCGGGGAGCAAGAAGGGAGGGGAGATGAGGAGGAGGAAGAGGAAGAAGCAGGCAAGGAGACGGGGTCACGGGTGGTGCTGCGGTACACAGTGGCGGACTCAGGCATCGGCATATCAGAGGAGGGGCAGAGCCGCCTGTTCCAGGCGTTCACCCAGGCGGACAGCAGCACGTGTCGGCGGTTCGGAGGCACCGGGCTGGGCCTGGCCATCTGCAGGGCGCTGGTGACGCTCATGGGGGGGACGATCGAGCTGACGAGCAAGGAGGGCGAGGTGAGTGGTGGCACAAGCCCAAGCATGGTAGCACAAGCATGGTGTATGGTAGCTGGTTCACCCAGGTGGACATCAGCACGTGTAGGAGGTTCGGAGGCACCGGGCTGAGCCTGGCTATCTGCAGGGCGCTGGTGACGCTCATGGGGGGGACGATCGAGCTGACGAGCAAGGAGGGCGAGGTGAGTGAGAGTGGCACAAGCAGTATGATGCATGGTAGCTGGTTCACCCAGGCGGTTAACGGCTTGTGTAGCAGGGCCAGTTTGTGGGAGAGATGGTTTGGAGGCACAGGGCTGAGCCTGGCTATCTGCAGAGCTCTCGTGACGCTCATGGGAGGGACAATTGAGCTGACGAGCAAAGAGGGCGAGGTGAGTGACGGCGGCACAAGCATGATGCAAGGCAGCTGGTTTCACTCTTTCTGTGAGGGCGAGGTGAGTGACGGCGGCACAAGCATGATGCAAGGCAGCTGGTTTCACTCTTTCTGTGAGGGCGAGGTGAGTGACGGCGGCACAAGCATGATGCAAGGCAGCTGGTTTCACTCTTTCTGTGAGGGCGAGGTGAGTGACGGCGGCACAAGCATGATGTAAGGCAGCTGGTTTCACTCTTTCTGTGAGGGCGAGGTGAGTGACGGCGGCACAAGCATGATGCAAGGCAGCTGGTTTCACTCTTTCTGTGAGGGCGAGGTGAGTGACGGCGGCACAAGCATGATGCAAGGCAGCTGGTTTCACTCTTTCTGTGAGGGCGAGGTGAGTGACGGCGCCACCAGGGTTTCTTGCTGTGTGGAACACTCAATTCTCATGATCCGCATCACATACATATTCTCATGATCCGCATCACATCACATACATATTCTCATGATCCGCATCACATACATATTCTCATGCTCGTTTCTCCCTTCCGCGTTCCCTCCTCCTCCTTGCCCATCCCCAGGGCTCGACTTTCTCCTTCACTGTCTGTGTGGGAGCACTCAAACACACCCCCGGCCAAGCCTCCACTGCTGCCGAGCCTGTCGAGTATGTCTGGAGCCGAACCTCTAGCTACAGCAGCGGCCGCAACAGCCTTGATCGGAACAGCACCAGCAACAGCAACAGCAACAGCAACAGCAAAAGCAGCAGCATCGTTAGCAGCGTCGGCAGCGGCATGGGCAGCAGCATTATCGGCAGCATTGTTAGCAGTATTGGCACTGCGGATGGGCGCAAGAGGCGTGATTCTAAAGGGTGCGGTGTCAAGAAAGGTGACTCTAACGAGAGTGATACCAAGGCCTTCCCAGAGGAGGATAGCTGCGAAGAGATTCTTGAGTCGACTCGGAAAAGTAAAGAGGTCGCAAGGAGAGGGGATTATAATGAAGGCGCAAAGAGAGGAGATTGTAACGAAGGTACGATGAGGAGAGGAGATTGTAACGAAGGTACGATGAGGAGAGGAGATTCTAGTGATGCTGCTGCGCTGTGCCAGCAGACATATGAGGGTGAAAGCCTGGGGAGATTGGAGGAGGACGTAGGGAGAGAGGTGGAGGAGGAATTGGAGGAGGGGGACGTAGAAGAGGAGGAGGGGGCTGAGGAGAAGGAGAAGGAATCACGAGCATTCGGAGCAGGAAGGGCAGAAGCAGGAGCAGCAGCAGCAGCAGCAGCAGTAGTCAGAGAAGCAGTTTTCACCAGGCTGGACGGTAGTGGGAGCAACGCTCGCACCAGTGTGAACCAGCAGTCACCGCAGGAGTCACCGCAGGATTTGTCGCAGGATTTGTCGCAGCTAGCATATACCCAAGAGCCCTCGTCTCCTCTCCTCCCACTCGCACCGGGGGAAGCAGTGGGAGCAGCCCGCGAGAGCACCCATGAAATCGCCTGTGACAGCACCCAGGTGTGCGCTCGTCTCTCGACTGAAGCGCCGCTCTCTGAATCAGCTTTAGCTGGGGAAGGCGGAGGGGAGGCACGAGGAGTGCGGTTTTCTCTTGGGAGCGTGGTGCTTCCTGCTGGTGGTGCTGAGGTAGAGGGCATGGAGGGGTGCATGGATGGGCGGCTGGATGGGCGGCTGGATGGGCGGCTGGATGGGCGGCAGGATGGGCGGCAGGATGGGCGGCAGGATGGGCGGCAGGATGGGCGGCAGGATGGGCGGCAGGATGGGCGGCAGGATGGGCGGCAGGATGGGCGGCAGGATGCAGGGCTGCCTGGGGACTGGGCGGCTGGGTTACCGCGGCGGCGGGGAATGAGAGGAAGCTTCTCAGAAGGAGACATATTGTTGATGTGTGAGTTGGGGGAGAGCGAATGTGACAGCCCGGGGGTGGAAGAGAGGGAGGGCGAAAGGAATCAGAATGCTGCCTCTGCGTTGCAACCACTCGCAACAGCAGCAGCAGGAGTGTCAGCAGGAGCTGCAGCAGCAGGGGGGGAACCACAGCAGCAGCCGCAGCAACAGCCGCAGCAAAAACCACAGCAGCAGCAGCAGCAACAACCACAACAGCAGCAGCAGCAGCAGCAGCAGCCGCAGCAGCATCAGCAGGTGCTGCGGGTGTTGGTAGCAGAGGACAATGCAGTGAACCAGCTGGTGGTGACTCGCATGCTCAGACGTTTGGGGCTGGACTGCCGAGTGGCCGACAATGGAGTGATGGCCGTGGATGCATGCAGGGAGGAGCGATTCGACCTCGTTCTCATGGTGAGTGCCTGTGGTGTGTGCCTGTGGTGTGTGTCTGTGGTGTGTGTTTGTCTGCCGTCTGTGTGCATGTGTGGGAAAGGTAGCGCATGCTCAGACGTTTGGGGCTGGACTGCCGAGTGGCTGACAATGGAGTGATGGCTGTGGATGCATGCAGGAGCGATTCGACCTCGTTCTCATGGTGAGTGTTGTGGCATGCATGAGTGACAGTGGAGAGACAGGGGCCACAGGCGCATGCTCGGGTGCCTGCGGCTGGACTGATGGGTGGCTAATAATGGTCATGGCTGTGGATGCATGGAAGGAGGAGTGGTTTGACCTCGTTCTCATGGTGAGTGGTGTGCATGCTGTGTGCATGTGAGTGAGTGAGTGTGTGTGTGTCCCCATGTGTGCACGTGTGTGCGTTGCGTATTGCTTTTCAAATGCATAGAATACACTTTGGCACCTCCCTAAACTGCCCTACATTTTTAAGAGTGTAACCACTCAACAGCCTCTCGCTCTCCCTCACATATCCTCCCACCAACCAGGACTGCCACATGCCTGAGATGGACGGCCTAGAAGCCACGAGGAGGATCCGACGGATGGAAGCAGAGAGAACACGGGAGCAGCTGGTAGGGAGAAACACAGATTCGTGTACAGAAACAGGAGGCCCCACACAAGCCGCGCCAGCTCAAGAAACTGTTGGGAAGACTGATGGCGGGTGCGAGGCTGCTGGAATGACTGTTGGGGAAATCGTTGGGAAGACTGATGGAGATGTTAAGACGAGCGGACAGGAGCCGGCAAGCCGTAGCGGCGGCGTGATTGCGGCGCCAATGTTCATAGTAGCGTTGACTGCAAGTGCGTTTGATTTCGAGCGGGAGGCGTGTTTCTCGGCCGGGATGAACCACTTCCTCACCAAGCCCATTCGCCCCAAGGACCTCCAGGGGCTTATCAAATTGCTGCAGGTGCCTGCGAAGATCTGAACGCTGGTTTGTGGATGGACAGCCGACTTACGAGATGCCCCCATTATCTCGGCCGGGATGAACCACTTCATCACCAACCCCATTCGCCCCAAGGACCTTCAGGGGCTTATCGAATCTTGCAGGTGCCTGCAAAAATCTAACTTCTGCTTTGTGTAAAGACTACGCTTGAGATGAGGTGAGGTGAGACCAGGGCTGACGTTTCAAATTAGGCCTCCCTGATTCTGGGGAAAGTTTTCCCCCTGTATTATGGGTGCATATTTTTCAGGAAAACATCGCCCTGATTGCTCAGTGTTGGGAAGTTATATAGTCTGATTGTTCAGGGTCGAGATATCAGGATCAGTGTCATATCGCGCTGTGCATTATCGAAACTGAACCTAGATGGTGGGTGTATAGGAATAGAAGTTAGAAGAAGCTTCGTCCTGATAAAGCGGGGGCTATGCACATAAAGGTGATTCCTGGAAACTCCAATACGACCTCAATGGTAAGTGTGTCGTAACGAAATTCTGAAGAAACTTTGTCTCGATAATGTCTGATTCGGGGTTTGCTCACGCGCTAACTGTACTGCGAACAATCCGAAGGCGGGGTTATCGGAAGGAACGTTCCAAGAAACTTCCTCTCAATAAGGTCAAATTCAGGGACCAGAGTCAATACTATCTTACGTCAGGGTCCACTAACAGGCTAGTCTGTTACACTGTACTCAAAATCAGGGATATGAAATCTATTACTCTGATTGGATCAGGATTCAGAACTCATTAATTCAGAATCTCCACAAAGTGGAAAGCCTGAAATCACCTGGAAATCAGGGTAATTACCCTAATAAAAACAGCCCTGGGTGAGACGCCTCGAAAGTCTTGGTGGGGATGAATTAGCTGTTTGCTAAGTGCGTCTGGCTGGCCCCATGATCTTCATGGTCTCATCGGGTTGCTCCAAATCCCGGTGCAAAATTAACTCCTTGGTTTGTAGATAGGCAGTTCTCGCTAGGTAGAACCCAGCCTATTCGAATATTATCTTCATGCTACATAAAACTTTGTTATGTAAGTATGTTTATTGTAATTCTTTACATTGAGAAAGCTTGCTTTCTCATTCTTATCAATTGGCATCGTTCTCATTACAAATAGCTTATTACAACATTTGCATCAACGTTGAACACAAGCTAGTGCAATGTAATAACACTAGCTAAGATGTACCCTATCCAGGTGCCATTAGCAAGGCGGCTTACTCTGAGCTGGGTGGTGGGAATGTTGAGTGAGACGTTTGAAAATAGAGAAACGTGGGTGGAGGGAAATGAGCTCCAACCCACGGTTTTGAGAAGAATGAAGAACGAGGATGAATGAACTATGAATGAGGTGAGTACATATGGAAAACCCTAATTGGGTTGTACCCCCTATGGGATACCCCACTATAGCCTACACAACAGCATAAGCTATATAATGTTCTGACACACCCCCATAGGCAAAGTGGGGGAGAACAAGGGGTCACAAGACCAGTCAAGCAAAGCAGAGCAAGCTCAGGGTGGATCACAACGTCACCACACAGTCCGAGCACAACGACAAGGCCACAAGGCCAGTTCACATGCAGGAGTACACATATATATATAGAGCTAGACAAGCAAGAGCAGGTATATATATGTGACAGTACAAGTAAGGTCAAGAGGAGAGCAAGTGAGGCAAGACAGGTACAAGACCCAGCTGAGTGCAGAAGCGCTGATGGTCACAAGGAGCAAGTGCCTTGGTGAACACATCAGCAGTGTTGGCCTGAGAGGCCACGTACGCAAGTCGCAACTGACCACGCTGCTGCAGCTCACGAGCAAGAAAGTAACGGAGAGCAATGTGCTTCGTTCTGTGCTCCAAGCGCTGCTCTCGACACAAGGCCAGCATGGCCTTGTTGTCTACGTACAGCACTGGAGGAGAACGAGGCGGCTCTCCAAGGTCAGTCAGCAGGTAGGTGAGCCAGCGAAGCTCCTGTGCAGCCATGGCCCCGGCGTAGATCTCAGCCTCACAACTGGAGCCGAGAACAGAGGACGAGCGAGTAGCTCGCCACGAGACAGAGCCGGAACCAAGACTGAAGGTGTAACCCTGCGACGACCGCTGCGTAGCCTGGTCGTCAGCCCAAGAAGCGTCCGCGTGCCCAGTGAGGACCACTGGACTCCGCCCTCCAAGCACTAGTCCCATGCCCGACGTACTGCACAAGTATCGCAACACCCTCTTCGCTGCAGCCATGTGCTCTGGTCGGTGTCTCCCAGGAGCAACATAGCGTGCAAGAATGCTAAGAGGGTATGCAAGGTCAGGTCGTGTGCAGGTCATCAGGTACATGAGGCAGCCAACAAGCTCTGGATACGGGCCACTCGACTCTACTGACTCATCCGAAGGCAGAGCTGAGAGTGAGTGGCGAGTAGGCAGAGGAGTGGCCTGAGGCGAGGAGTACGTGAAGCCGAAGCGCTGAAGGACCTGCTGCACCATGTGTGACTGAGTCAGGGTAATGGTGCGGCGTGCTCTGTCCCGGGTGATCTGCAAGCCAAGGTAGCTGCGCAGTTCACCCAGGTCTGTGCACGTGTGTCTCTTCTGCAGCTCGGACTTCACGTGGGCGAGTCCAGCAGTGTCAGCTGTGGCAAAGACCAAGTCGTCGACGTACACGAGGATGTAGAACGGCGGAAGAGAGGTGTCGGTGCGTAGAAACAGCGACGGGTCGGCAGTAGAAGGAGCAAACCCAAGAGCCGCAAGCGTAGTCCTCAGTGTGTCGTGCCACTCACGTGGCGCCTGGCGGAGACCGTAGACTGGACGCCGGAGACTCCACTGGGTACCAGGAGGGAAAGACCCAGTGAAGCCAAGTGGGCGGCGCAGCCAGATTTCCTCGTGCAGGCTGCCCTGCAAGAAAGCAGTGCTGAAGTCGAGAGAGTGCAGCTCGTAGTCACGGTGAGCAGCAACGTGTAGCAGCACCCGAAGAGTGGTCATCTTCGGGGTGGGGGAGAAGGTCTGAAAGTAGTCAACTCCCTGTCGCTGACTGAAGCCACGAGCCACGTAACGTGCCTTGAAGACAGGCGGAGAACCCGGCGGCCGCTTCACCCTGAAGATCCACATGCCACTGACGATGTTCGCCCCAAGAGGGGGGACAGCGTCAACGTAGGTGCCTGTGGACTTCCAGGAAGCCATCTCTGCATCCATAGCTGCCTGCCACTGAGAGGAGTAGGGACCCTCTATCGCCTCCGCGTAAGAGCGCGGAGTCGGGATGTCAAGTGCATCCGGGTCTCCCTCAGGGGTAAGCAGTACGGACACGAGATGAGGTGAAGTAGCTGCCAGACACTGGAACTCCTCCTGCCTGTCCTCAAGGACGTCCGTGCCAAGGGCACACTCACCCCCGACTGACGGAGGACAGGCAGACCCAGACTCAGCGACAAGACTAGCAGCGTAGTCTAGGCGACAGCGAGCAGCAAAGTCGACGAGCTCAGTAACTAGGGCAGACGCAGTAGTAGACTCGAAGGAAGGGTCAGTGACGACAGTAGCAAGGAGACGCGTGACAGTAGGACTGGCAGCACGAAGAGAGTCCGACGCAGGGTCGGGAAGAGCAGGAAGAGAGGACTCAGGAGGAGAAGGCAAAGGGGCACGCAGAGGAGCAGTAAACGGACGCAGAGACATCCTGTGCGTGCCAGGGACAGGAGGAGGACGCTGACGCGAACCACGACCACTAGCGCGAGCAGCACGGACAGGCGACGCAGGGCGAGACGCAGGCTCACGACGCTCAGTAAGACCTCCAGTAGGACCAGTGTAGGGAGAAGGAGCAGGCAAAGGGGAGGTAGGCTGTAGCAGTGACCGCGACGGGACAGGCTGTGGACCCTCCAAGAGAGGAGGAGGACCAGGAGAGGGCGGAAGACCAAGAACCTGCTGCAGGAGTGGAACGAAGTACGGTCGAGGCCGCGTAGCTACGCCAGAAACAGCAGGGACAGCACCAGTACCCCCAGCAGGAGCACCCGCTCCAGCAGCACCTCCAGTAGCTCCAGAAACTCGAGCAACACCAGGAGCACCCCCAGCAGGACCGCCAGTGGTAGTCTCAGTGCCAACACCCTCAGCAGCACCAGCTCCAGTCGAACCCGCAGGCCCAGCAGCTCCAGTACTCCCAGTACGAGCACCTCCGGGACCCGCAACAGCAGCACCCTCAGTAGCCGACGAACCTC